ACTGTGACTATAGGTGCCACACTGTGACCATAGGTGCCACTGTGACTATAGGTGCCACTGTGACCAAAAGGTGCCACTGTGACCATAGGTGCCACTGTGACCATGGGAGCCACTGTGACTATAGGTGCCACTGTGACTATAGGTGCCACTGTGACCATAGGTGCCACTGTGACCATAGATTGCCACTGTGACCATAGGTGCCACTGTGATATAGGTGCCACTGTGACCATAGGTGCCACTGTGACCATAGTGCCTGTGACCACAGGTGCCAGTTGTGACCATAGGTGCCACTGTGACTATAGGTGCCACTGTGACCATAAGTGCCACTGTGACCATAGGTGCCACTGTGACCATAGGTGCCACTGTGACCATAGGTGCCACTGTGATCAAGGTGTCACTGTGACCATAGGTGTCACTGTGACCATAGTGCCACTGTGACCATAAGTGACACTGTGACCATAGGTGCCACTGAGACCATAGGTGCCACTGAGACATGGTGCCACTGTGACCATAAGTGACACTGTGATCATAGGTGTCACTGTGACCATAATTGCCACTGTGACCAAAGTGACACTGTGACCATAGGTGCCACTGTGACCATATTGCCACTGTGACCATAGGTGCCACTGTGACCATAAGTGACACTGTGACCATAGGTGCCACTGTGACCATAGGTGTCACTGTGACCATAGTGACACTGTGACCATAAGTGCCACTGTGAACATAGGTGCCACTGTGCCATAGGTGCCACTGTGACCATAAGTGACACATGTGACCATAGGTGTCACTGTGACCATAGGTGCCACTGTGACTATAGGTGCCACTGTGACCATAGGTGCCACTGTGACCATAGGTGCCACTGTGACCATAGGTGCCACTGTGACCATAGGTGCCACTGTGACCATAGGTGCCACTGTAACCATAGGTGCCACTGTGACTATGGGTGCCACTGTGACCATAGGTGCTACTGTGACCATAGGTGCCACTGTGACCATAGGTGCCACTGTGACCATAGGTGCTACTGTGACCATAGGTGCCACTGTGACCATAGGTGCCACTGTGACCATAGGTGCCCTGTGACCATGAGGTGAAACTGTGACCATAGGTGCCACTGTGATCATAGGTGCTACTGTGACCATAGGTGCCACTGAGACCATAGGTGCCACTGTGACCATAGGTGCCACTGTGACCATAGGTGCTACTGTGACATAGTGCCACTGTGACCATAGGTGCCACTGTGACCATAGGTGCCACTGTGACCATAGGTGCCACTGTAACCATAGGTGCCACTGTGACCGGGAGTGCCACTGTGACCATAGGTGCCACTGTGACCATAGGTGCCACTGTGACCGCGTCCACTGTAACCATAGGTGCCACTGTGACCATAGGTGCCACTGTGACCATAGGTGCCACTGTGACCATAGGTGCCACTGTGACCATAAGGTGCCACTGTGACCATAGGTGCCACTGTGACCATAGGTGCCACTGTGACCATAGGTGCCACTGTGACCATAAGTGACACTGTGACTATAGGTGCCACTGTGACCATAGGTGCCACTGTGACCATAGGTGCCACTGTGACCATAGGTGCCACTGAGACCATTAGAGTGCCACTGTGACCATAGGTGCCACTGTGACCATAGGTGCCACTGAGCCATAGGTGCCACTGTGACTATAGGTGCCACTGTGACCATAAGTGACACTGTGACTATAGGTACCACTGTGACTATAGGTGCCACTGTGACCATAGGTGCCACTGTGACCATAGGTGCCACTGTGACTTAGGTGCCACTGTGACTATAGGTGCCACTGTGACTATAGGTGCCACTGTGACCATAAGTGACACTGTGACTATAGGTGCCACTGTGACCATAGGTGCCACTGTGACCATAGGTGCCACTGTGACCATAGGTGCCACTGTGACTATAGGTCCCACTGTGACTATAGGTCCCACTGTGCCATAGGTGCCACTGTGACCATAGGTGCCACTGTGACTAGGTGCCACTGTGACCATAGGTAGGTGCCACTGTGACCATAGGTGCCACTGTGACCATAGGTAGGTGCCACTGTGACCATAGGTGCCACTGTGACCATAAGTGACACTGTGACCATAGGTGCCACTGTGCCATAGGTGCCGCTGTGATCATGGGTGCCGCTGAGATCATAGGTGCCACTGTGACCATAAGTGACACTGTGATCATGGGTGACACTGTGACCATAGGTGCCACTGTGACCATTGAATCCACTTAACCAAGTGCCACTGTGTCCATGAGTGCCAAATGGGTCGTTATCAGTAAAATGACCAGCAGTACCAACACTTGCCACAGGCCAGGCACCCGGGGCGGCTGGCACCATGACCACACCCAGCTGGTCGTGACTCCGTCCTCCTCCCTCCCTCCTCTCCCACTTTCTCTCCTCTTTTCACTCCTCTCTTTCTCTCTTGCTTTCACACACCCTTCTCCTCTTCTCCCAATACACACACACACACTGCAACCCCGGACCTCCACTTATTTAACACTAACGCCATCAGCTGAACTATGTCATAGTTCCATCCAATTACCACCACCACCACCATTATCACCACCACCACCATTACTACCACCATCACCACCATGCTACCACCATCTGTAACCGCCACTGTACCATCACCACCACTGCAGTCACCACTACCATTATCATCAGTTATCCACCACATAATCACCATCACACCATTCACCAAACAGGGAGGTACCGCCTGGGAAGATACTGGAAGCATAATGTATTGTCTAATGGTAGACCTGCTGCCATATGGCATCACGAAAATTATGACCAAGTCCCAGGTTACTGATCTGACTTTCTGCTTCATTTACACACAATTGCAGGGTCTCAATTGTTTCTCTAACATGACAACACAACTTACATATAGCGTTTCTCACTATTGATTTTTTCATTCTTGTATTTCTTTGTATTTATTATTTTCAGTGATTATTATTACCATTAATATTTTTTATTTTACTTTTATTATAAATTTTATTTACTGAATTATTATTATTATTACATTTCGTCCCCAGGCTGATGTGGGTCAGTGACCTGTGCCCGGGTGGGCTAATCCCCGTAAAAAATAATAATAAAACATCACTTGGAGTACTGCTCTCATGTCTGGGGTGGCTCTTCTTCTGTCCAACTGTTAGATGAGGTGGAATCAAAGGCATTTCATCTTATTAACTCTCCTCCTTTAGTTGACAATCTCTCTTCCCTTTCTCTTCGCCGCAATGTTGCTTCACTCTCTCTCTTTTACAGGTACTTTAACGGGCAATGTTCGGTGGTTGGCATCCTGTACCGCCGGCAAGGCCGTGGGCTCGTAACACTCGTCTTGCCCGCGGTGCCCACCGTTTCTCTGTGGATGTCGGTCACCATAATAACCCGTTATAGTACATCCTTCTTCCTCACACACAGCCAAACTGTGGAATGTTCTGCCTTCTTCTGTGTTTCCATAACATACAATCTGTCTCACTTTAAAAGATGGTTTCCGGCATCTTCGTGGTGTAGATTAATACATTCTTTTTACTCTTCTTTTATTTTGTTATCCTATGTTTCCCCCCTGTTCCTGTTTTGTATTTAAATATTGATATTAAAAACAGTTTATTTAGCCAGAAAAACACAGACACAGAGTGGATAATAATAACAATATTAACATGACTGAACCAGTTGAGAACCTGAGCTGCACCTGATATATACTGTACATTTATCTCAAGGAAGTATTATGTAACATTTAGTATCATCTGGAATAGTACAATAGCATGGTGGTAATAAGAACATCTCATAATGTTACCACGGTTATCACTTCGATTTTTTTTACGTTTATATTATAAGTACAGAGGTGTATAATATATATTTTTTACAGTGGTGTTGATATACATTAATATGATAAGGGAGGAAGCAGTACAACATGGGGTGTATTAAGGTGGAACAAGGACAGAACTATCAGTATCACGTCTAGTCGGCAAATATAATTATTGCAATGGTAATTTCTATCTATCTACATGACAATCTATGATATAACAGTTTTGGTGGCACAATATAAGCAGGAATATAAAGTAGGTATTACAAAATTATTAATACTTAGATCTTAGACGATAGATAATTTAAGAGATGATTTAAAGGAAGGAGCGTAGTCTTTCTTGGATGGGTGGGGGTAAGTTGTTCCACACCTTCACACAGTGATATTTTATGGAGGTCTGGGACTGAGAGGAGCGCATGGGGGTGGTCTTAGTAGCTCTGGGTGCCTTAAGTTATCGATGACCTGTACTTTGGTGGCCTATTCACCATAAAAACCCACCACCATTATCTTCACCATTACCACCACCACCACCATTACCACCACCACTACTCTCACCACTGGGATGGAGTAAGGCACCAGCCTCAACAGTCACCAAGATGGAACAAGAACCAATACCAGTGATCACCAGCTGTATCTGATAGTTTACTTGATGAACTATCCACAACAATTCCTCTACTGATGGTTGTTTCTGTGTTTTGCCTCGTTCCATATTTATTCGTGTCAAAACAACTACCTCTGTCCTCTTTATGTTTATTACTAGCTGGGAGTACCCGGCATTATAGTCTTGGGCAAAATTAAGTTCATGTGTAAAAATAGCAATACTCCGTTTCAGTTCTCTGCCTTTTGCTGTACTGTAGCTTAAGGAAATAGAAAACAAAGAGAAAATGGGGAAAATAACTCGAAGTGTAAGAGAACTTCAGAATGTGATTGAAAGGTAAAGGAATAATTATTGTAAAATTTTTCTATACGCACGCACGCACACACACAAACACCAGGGTAATTAATAACTGGGTGTATGAAGAGAGATGTGTACGCCTGTTTTGTGTGTGTGTGTGTGTGTGTGTGTGTGCGACTGGCCATAGTGCAGACACAGTGGACCCCAACATCTCTCCCAGGAGACGGCCGAGCCGGGGGTCTCTCTCGGTTTTCCCATATAAAAATATCGGGAAATGTCTAGTTTTTAATGAGGTGGAACACGGTGCTGGCTGAAGCCTTGAGTGGAACACGGTGCAGGCTGACTTGGTGGAACACGGTGCTGGCTGAAGCCTTGGTGGAACACAGTGCTGGCTGAAGCCTTGGTGGAACACGGTGCAGGCTGAAGCCCTGGTGGAACACGGTGCAGGCTGAAGCCTTGGTGGATACACGGTGCTGGCTGAAGCCTTGGTGGGACACAGTGCTGGCTGAAGCCTTGGTGGAACACAGTGCAGGCTGAAGCTTTGGTGGAGCACAGTGCAGGCTGAAGCCTTGGTGGAACACGGTGCTGGCTGAAGCCTTGGTGGAACACGGTGCTGGCTGAAGCCTTGGTGGAACTTACGGTGCAGGCTGAAGCCCTGGTGGAAGCTGCAATTGCAGGCTGAAGCCTTAGTGGAACACAGTGCTGGCTGAAGCCTTGGTGGAACACAGTGCTGGCTGAAGCCTTGGTGGAGACACAGTGCAGGCTGAAGCCCTGGTGGAACACGGTGCAGGCTGAAGCCTTGGTGGAACACGGTGCTGGCTGAAGCCTTGTGTGGAACACAGTGCAGGCTGAAGCAGTGGAACACAGTGCTGGCTGAAGCCGGTGGAACACAGTGCAGGGCTGAAGCGTTGAACACAGTGCTGGCTGAAGCCTTGGTGGAACACAGTGCAGGCTGAAGCCTTGGTGGAGACACGGTGCTGGCTGAAGCCTTGGTGGAACACAGTGCTGGCTGAAGCCTTGGTGGAGCACGGTGCTGGCTGAAGCCTTGGTGGAGCACGGTGCTGGCTGAAGCCTTGGTGGAACACAGTGCTGGCTGAAGCCTTGGTGGAACACGGTGCAGGCTGAAGCCTTGGTGGAGCACAGTGCTGGCTGAAGCCTTATTGGAACACGGTGCAGGCTGAAGCCTTGGTGGAACACGGTGCTGGCTGAAGCCTTGGTGGAACACGGTGCTGGCTGGAACCTTGGTGGAACACGGTGCTGGCTGAAGCCTTGGTGGAACACGGTGCTGGCTGGAACCTTGGTGGAACACGGTGCAGGCTGAAGCCTTGGTGGAACACGGTGCTGGCTGGAACCTTGTGAACACGGTGCTGAAGTTGAACCTTGGTGGAGCACAGCGGCTGGAGCCTCCTTGGTGGAACACGGTGCTGGCTGGAACTCAGGAACACGGTGCTGGCAACCCAGGGAACACGGTGCTGGCTGGAACCTTGGGTGGAGCACGGTGCTGGCTGGAGCCTGGTGGAACACGGTGCAGGCTGGAAGCCTGGGGTGGAACACTTTGCTGGCTGCTTCCTTTTGGTGGAGCACGGTGCTGGCTGAACCTTGGTGAACACGGTGCTGGCTGGAACTCAGAGCACGGTGCTGGCTGGAACCTGTGGAGCACGGTGCTGGTTGAACCTGGTGGAGCACGGTGCTGCTGGAAACCTTGTGAGCACGGTGCAGGCTGAAGCCTTGGTGAAAACACGGTGCTGGCTGGAACCTTGCGGGAACATTGCGCGGGCTGGAACCTTGGTGGAACACGGTGCTGGCTGAAGCCTTGGTGGAACACGGTGCAGGCTGAAGCCTTGGTGGAACACGGTGCTGGCTGGAACCTTGGTGGAGCACGGTGCTGGCTGGAACCTTGGTGGAACACGGTGCTGGCTGGAACCTTGGTGGAACACGGTGCAGGCTGGAACCTTGGTGGATCACGGTGCTGGCTGGAGCCCAGGAGCACGGTGCAGGCTGAAGCTCTTGTGGGTACCACGTGCTGGCTGGAACCCCAGGAGAACGGTGTTGGCTGAACCTGGTGGAGCACGGTGCTGGCTGGAACCTTGGTGCAGGTGCTGGCTGGACCTTTGGTAAATACGGTGCTGCCGGAACTCGGTGGAACAATGAAAGGCTAACCCGGTGAAAACACGGTGCTGGCTGAACCTTGCGGAACACGCCGTTGGTTGAACCTTGGTGGAACACGGTGCTGCTGGGAGCCCGGTGGAACACGGTGCTGGCTGGAACCTTGGTGGAGCACGGTGCAGGCTGAAGCCCAGGAACACGGTGCTGGTTGAACCTTGTGGAGCACGGTGCTGGGCTGGGGCCTTTGCGGAACACGGTGCGCTGTCGGAAACCCTGGGTGGAGAAACGGTAAGCGGCTGGAACCTTTCCTTGTGGAGCACGGTGCTGGCGTTGAACCTCGGTGGAGCACGGTGCAGGCTGAAGCCTTTGGTGGAACACGGTGCTGGCTGGAGCCTTGGTGGAGCACGGTGCTGGCTGGAACATTGGTGGAACACGGTGCTGGCTGGAACCTTGGTGGAGCACGGTGCTGGCTGGAGACCTTGGTGGAGCACGGTGCTGGCTGGAACCTTGGTGGAGCACGGTGCTGGCTGGAACCTTGGTGGAGCACGGTGCAGGCTGAAGCGGAACACGGTGCTGGCTGGAACATTGGTGGAACACGGTGCTGGCTGGAACCTTGGTGGAACACGGTGGCTGGAACAGCGGGTGGAGCACGGTGCAGGCTGGAAGCCTTGGTGGGCAGGGTGTGGCTGGAACATTGGTGGAGCACGGTGCTGGCTGGAGCCTTGGTGGGGGCGGTGCTGGCTGGGGACCCTGGTGGAGAACGGTGTTGGCTGGAACGTTGGTGGAGCAGGTGCTGGCTGGAACCTTGGTGGAGCACGGTGGGCTGAAGCCTTGGTGGAACACGGTGCTGGCTGGAACCTGGTGGAGAGCGGTGTTGGCTGGAACCTTGGTGGAGCACGGTGCTGGCTGGAACATTGGTGGAACACGGTGCTGGCTTGGAACTGTGGTGGAACACGGTGCTGGCTGGACCTTGGTTGAACACGGTGCTGGCTGGAACCTTGGTGGAACACGGTGCTGGCTGGAACCTTGGTGGAACACGGTGCTGGCTGGAACAGGTGGAACACGGTGTGGCTGGAGCCTGGTGGAACACGGTGCTGGCTGGAACAGAGTGGGTACGGTGCAGGCTGAGCATTGGTGGGATACGGTGCTGGCTGGAACCTTGGTGGAGCACGGGGTGCTGGCTGGGGCCTTGGTGGAACACGGTGCTGGCTGGAACCTGGTGGAGAACATTGTTGGCTGGAACCTTGGTGGAGCACGGTGCTGGCTGGAACCTTGGTGGAGCGGTGCAGGCTGAAGCAGTGGAACACGGTGCTGGCTGGAACCCTGGTGGAGAGACGTTGTTGGCTGGAACCTTGGTGGAGCACGGTGCTGGCTGGAACCTTGGTGGGCACGGTGCAGGCTGAAGCCTTGGTGGAACACGGTGCTGGCTGGAACCTGGTGGAGAACGGTGTTGGCTGGAACCTTGGTGGAGCACGGTGCTGGCTGGAACCTTGGTGAACTCAGTTCTGGCTGGGACCTTGGTGGGTGCAGTGCTGGCTGGAACCTTGGTGGAACACGGTGCTGGCTGGAACATTGGGTGGAACACGGTGCTGGCTGGTTGGTGATCACGGTGCTGGCTGGAGCCCCTCAAGCTCTGACCTGCTCAAGCCAGATCTTTCTTTATTTCCCGATATATAAATATTTTCAATTCAAGCCTCTGTATTTGATTTTTTTTTTGTTTTCTCGGGGCTAGAGGGAGGGTGGGTGTGGTGGAGGTGGAAGGGGAGGAGGGTGGGAGGGAGGGGTGGGGGAAAGGGAGGGGGTGGATGTGTGGGGCTGGAGAGGGTAGGGGGTGGTGAGGGAGGAGGTGGGAATGTGGTAAGTGGAAAGACGTTGGGAGGAATAAGGAGGTGGGGAAAAAGGTTTAGGTTAGGTTGGGTTGGGTTAGGTTGAGTCGAGTCAGGGTAGGATGTGATAAGTTATGCTATGTTCATCATTTCATTTGTTCAGTCATTCTATATGTTCTGTCACTAACATTGTTCTCCCTCTTAACAGGTAGTGTGGGAGTGACCAGGTAAATCAACACCTGCAGTAGTATCGACACGTACTGATGTTCCCAGGAGAGAGTACCAGCACGATAACCTAACCAACCTATTTGATTAATACTCGTGATCATGATTGCTGTCAATATGATCAATATAATTACTGACTTTGATCATGATGACAACCTGTGTGACTATAGCTTAGATTGATCACTTAATGTCAGGGTGATGAATGTGGAATCATGATCACTACGTCTTGATCAACAAGCAACCACTATATAATACACACACACACACACACACACACACACACACACACACACACACACAC